TAAAAAATGTATTATATGTCATATAAATTCGTCGAATTAGCTGAACTAAATAATTTATAGTGTGCACATGGTAGACAGGAGCCTGCCTGAGTTGGGAGGGTCTATGTCTGATGAAAGGGATGAAAGGAGATACGCATGGTTCTGATATCTTTTAGCTGTTTTGTTTTTACTTTCCGGGTGTAATATATAACAGAGGGAAAGTATGGTGATCGGTCAAAAAATGATCCCCCAAGAATTTTACATTTTTGGACAGTACACCTTGAATCATCGAGAAATGCAAAAAAAAAAAAAAATTGGAGGTTTTCTGTATGTATGAATGTTAGTGTGGCGTGTATGTGGGGGGCACGATTTTGTTCAACCTTTTTGAAGCGTAATAACTCGTACTTTTTGTTAATTTTCTGAAATTTTACAGGAACGTTTCTGTATTAGGAGATTGATGCTATTAAATTTTGGTGGTTAAAAGTCGACAGGATGGGGAGATGCTCCTGTACATCATATTTTCCCTGTTAACAAGAGACTCGTGCCGGTCATCTATCTAACTCTGTTCTGGAAAAAATTTTTGAATTGAAATAACGTGTCTTCTGGTCCAAACCAGAAGCTTATATCGGGGCTATAATCAGGGCTTCCGGCTCCTAAGCTTTCCATATCTGGTCTCCAATTTCATCTGTCTGACTTTGTTCTCGAGATTAAAGAAAGATAGACAGACAACAGACAGATGCCAATGCGATTTTATAGGTCTACAATTTTTGAAAATTGCAGCTGAAATAGAAAGTGTGACAAATAAATGGCAAATAAATAAATAATAATGCCAATTAGTTAAAATGGCAAACTGTATTTTTCACAATTAAAAATATAAAAGAAAGAAAGTTTTTTTTTCAGTTCCTTTATATCCAAATTTTTTAAATTAAGGTAAACGCACCGGTAGTGGACACTTTGAACTTCAAATATGAGTAATAAGGCTGTAAATGGCTTCACTGTTCAAACATACAAATCATTCAGTAGACAAAACTTCTGTCTACTGAATGATTTGTATGTTTGAACAGTGAAGCCATCTACAACCTTATTACTCATATTTGAAGTTCAAAGTGTCCACTACTCGTGCAGTGTCCACTACCGGTGCGTTTACCTTATTTGGCTTAACATCACTGAACGTTTTAGTTGTTTTACAGATTTTTTTCAGAAGCCTTTCCTCTAATTAAAGCTCTTCTCTGCGAAGGAAGAATGTTTTATTCCTGGTGATTGCACAAGACGGAATTGAATATGACAGTTCCTTCTATAGTTTTAACTGTGTTAAATAAAAACGCATCTATTTAGCTCTTCTTAGCTTGTAAGTTCTTTCTTATTGCCATTATTAATTTGTAGACATCTATAATGGGAGAGGTTGGCAGTGAGGAATGGAGTCCGATATATTTGGGTCAAGCCACTGGTGAAAAATTCTTGAATGTTCATAACATTTACTGGAACCCGGGTCTTTAGAGTATAATGTCCCATCCCATCTTTGAGTTGTTAAAACTGTTGAACATTTACAGCTAATCCCAAGTTCGCACTCCGTTGATCACGTGGAACACTTAACTGGTGAAACACGAAAGCACTGTTTCTCATAGAAATTTCTCTTAGAAACACTTGTCTTATGCCTTCAAAGCAACATTAAAGCAGGAAACAGGAAACTTTTTACATATGTCACATAGCTTAATATCTTTTACAAAAAAACGAAAAAAGTACTTTTCTGTATATTTCAATTTTTAGCTAATTTAATTAAGAAGAAAGTTATAATTTTACAATAAAGTATTAAATATTCTCACTCTTGCAATGAAAGTTATTTACAGTTATTCTTAAAAAAGATTTTGCCGTTGTGGGTCTATTAACAGATGTTTCTACATCTACATCAGCAGCTACAGTAATGTTTTTACTTCTTGATAGTAAATTTGAAGATAACGAAAGTGCTCCAGTAATTGATTATTACTGGAGCATTACCATTACAACTTTACAACTCGATCGAGTCACTTCTTTCTGAAATTAAAAAATATACAATAATTTCTATTTTAATTAAATTTTTGTATATATATATGAATAGTAAAAAAACTTTAAAATATGCGATTTTATTTAATTTTCATGAACAAACGATTTCTAGAACTTATTTACCATGCGTTTGGCCAGGCAAAAAATAAGGACTGGGTCTAAAACCATCGGTTTCCAGAAGACAAAAGAGGTTCATCCACAACTATAAAGCTATCATTTGACGTTTTTGTAAGAAATAAATAAAATTTTCAAAAAGTACATATGAAGGAAGAAAGATACAATTAAAACTTTTGCAAAATAAATGTATATTTTTTAGTAATTACAATGAACTCTACATACGAGTATATTGTAAATATTACTGGCACTATATAGTAGATACTAAAAGAAAATATTGTTATAATTGAATTTTTAAATTATTATCTTTTTTATATTTTAAATAAATGGTAGATATTTTTAAATAGTTAGCTTGTGCTGAACATTTTACAAGTTATCAAGAGGTTTAAAAGAATATTTCACGCAGTCCACCACTAGGAGAAATCGTTTGATTTCACAAGATGATTTGCGAATATGTCAATAGTTGCTTCTGCATCCAATTCATCTAACAATTCTTTTTCAATAAATGGCAATATTTATGATTCCAAATTCTCCTCTAAGTTGCTTTATCTTTATGAACTTTAACTTAAAAAATGCACTCTCACATTGAATTGAGTTAGAGATAGTGTTGCATATGAATTTTTAAAGTCCATAAAGATTAAGTAGCCGTCGTCCATCCTCTCCTCTTCTTAAGACATCAAAAAACTTCTATCCTGATGGATTCATCGAAGCTTCTTTCGAACCACCTTGCGGACCAGGAGTGCATCGATCCGCCGATTCCGAAAAGAGACCAATTTCTACTAACTAAGGTATTTACCGACGAGCGAACGATTGTAAACTCTCTCGATGTCAGGGACTCGCGATATTAATGATAAAGATTAGTTTTTTCTATAATTGTTATACAAAATTAGCATCGACAGAGAGCGTCTTAACCAACTTCTGTATATTATTACTATGTAAATAAACGGGTGTTTTTAATTGTTAAATTTGTGGTAGCGTGCACTTCTTCCAGTTGTCTCAGACCATTTCCATCCCGGGCCCAAGCATCTACACACGCGGCCGCTCTCCAAAAACGAAAATGACTGTTTCTGTGTCTGTCCGAAAGACACAGTAGTGTCAGTCCTGACGAATTTGTCATCGTAGTCACCGCCGACTCGATGTCGACCCTTCAGTCAAGTTATGTGAAGCATGGGGACACTTCGCGCATTGTCATAGTAAAATTGAAACTCCTATTATATTTTTATGGTACTAAAAAGTTATTAACATTTTTAACATATCGTCTAATGTTTAAAGGTGCCCACTTGCCATTGGGTAAGCTGACACTCTGGCCAGTCCGCCACTGAGAACGAAGTGATTATAAAGGATGGGACCCGTCATGTTACAATTCTACCGATCACAGGATTTTGTGAAAAGTAAATACATGTATGCAAGTTAAGAAGAATTTAAGTGAAAAATTTTGCGAATCTTCTTCCTCTTCTTTATTGATTGATGGATTCGATATTGACGTAATTTAACATTCAATTTTAAAGAACATCTGTACTGAATCTCAATCAGAACCAGTTGGGGTATTCTGTTGGCTCGCCCTCTTTGAACTTCAACGAATTTTAATGGGTTTGGTTTGGTTTGGTTCATTTGGTTATGGCAATACGACACGTGAGTGGTCTGACGAGGGGAATGCCTTCCGAGAGGACTTTTACGGGAAACTGGGGCCCATTTAGGTGTTACAAATATAAAGAAAACTCAAAAACTCCACGTGACCAGCCAATTGGCAAGGTTCAATCCCACGATCAACTGCCAACGTTCAGTGGTTTTATCCACTCTCTCACTGGCGGGCACGAACTTTAATGTGAATTTGACTACTCCTTAATGAAACTAGTATTTCAGACTATTGTAATTTGTCCAAATCTAGTGTTTTGTAAATGTATACTTTGAGTAATTATTATTGACAGCGCATTAACAGTGATTCGTTCTCAGTCTGAGCTTAATTTAAACGGTGCAAATAACTCCTTCAAATATAAATTTAATAAACTAAAATACAATATATTCAAAATTTGTCACGGAAAACCACTTTATAAAAATATAAATTCAGTTAAGAACGTAATAAAAAATATACATTGTAACAAAAAAGTTGGCTCCCACAATGAGATCCTTTTACAGTTGCTCTGTAGTATCCTGTGGCTAAGAAGTCAGAAACGGAAAAATCTGGTAGTTGGAATTTAACAGATGGTATGGAGTAAGATTTCTGGAAATACAAACAATTTACATGAGTAAAAATTTTTAAAATACTTTTGTAATTACCGGTTTGTTCAAATATTAACTGCTCTCAAATAGTAACAGTATCTCGTCATTATAATTGAATTACTACTCAGTAACAGAACTATTCGAATAAACCAGTATATATATTGAAAAATAAATTAATAATGCATATATTTTTTAGCACTTCTTAGGTTCTGAGCTCTTTTTCCAATACCATTATGACTTTGTCGAAAGATACAATGGATGCAATTGGCAGTGAGGAACGGAGCTTGATATATTTAGGCCAAACTACCCGTGAAAAATTATTGAGTGCTCCTGACGCTTACTCGAAATCGTCCCCACTATGATCAAGTTGTTAAAACTGTTAAACATTAATACTTGATTTCGGGCTTGCACTTCGTTTACAATTTGGAATTTTACCATTAACTTGAAGTCTAACACCAAAATCTCGCCTCGATCTATTCTTGGTAGATCGCCTTCCTCTTGCGTTGCATTATTCCATCAAACCAATGTTAAACCAAGCAAAGCAATTCGTAAACGATAAAAACAACTTTACATGTCTTCGCCATCCACTTTCATCTTGGACCTCTACATTCACGAATAAATTGCTATGAGAGATGGCCTGGTCCCAACCGTCGCTAAGCGAGCCGTCGTAAATCAAACCCAATTTCTCAAGATTTAGTATCATAATGATATGATATTCTCGGAATATATGATATGATGATCGGAATATGGAATGATATGATATGATATTCTCGGAAGAAACTTTTATATGTATAATATCTGTATTTAAATATGGAATTTTGAGTATAATTTTGAAGCGAGTTCTATTGTAGAGTGAAATTTTGTTAACTCATATTTAAAATTTCATATTTTTGATTAGAAAGTAATTTTTTATTTTAAGAAATTTTTTGACGATAAAAACTTAAAATTACATTAATTTTAAGTTGTCTTACCGCTTTAATTGGACATATGCATAGCAAATCATGTTCTTTTGCGCAATTTGTCGGAAACATTTCACATAAGTTACCTAGATTAATATGTTTTACATGAATCCAAAAAAGTATCTCTCTGTATATTTCAGCAGTTACCTAATTTAAGAAAAAAGTGATAATTTGACAATAAATTACTAAATATTCTCACTCTTATAATTGAAAGTTATAAGTGCTTTTCATTAGAAAAGGTCTTACCATTATAGGTGAATCAATAGGTCTGTCTACAACGATATCACCACCTACAGTGATGGTTCCTCTTACTGGTATTGGATTCGGAGTTAAAGAAAAACTTTTGACTTTTACTGGTGCATCATCGTTGCAACTTTCCCATTCGATTGAACTATCTCTTTTTGAAATCTAAAACGTATACAATGATTTATATTTTAATTGAATTTTCTGTATTACAGTAAGCACTGTGTAAAGAAACTGTACCGGATGCCATGAAGATGAATTGACTTTATTGGTATCATATGCATTTGCAGGTAAAATTTGGCATAAAGATGTTACTGATAGGATCAGGGTAATGTAATTCATGATGTTCTGTCTGAAAATTATCCAATTATATTATTTTTATCTCATCATATCGCAATTTTCACAACTGAAATGAAAATAACACATAATATTAATAAGTTTTTCAAGGATTTATAATTGAGTATAAATTTCTGAATTTCAATGTTCAGCTGTTTCTTGCCTGCAGAGAATATTAATATCTGTATTCAGAATAAAAAGTTAAAAGTTACCTAAGAAGCGTTCACGTTCTTGGTTAACTTTACCACACTTCAGTGTAAGTTATTCACTCTACAACATTCAACTTTCAACCTTGTAGGATTTTCTGTTCCTGGATATACGAAGAGATACGGTCTGGCAAGAAAAATACCGCCTCAAATACTGTTCTGCAAAAGATTTACCACAGTTGTTTGAACTCCACTCCTTATATCTCACACTTGTAGATAGCAGAATGGTGTCCACTAGTCCCATAATCTCTCTAGGAGCGACAAATGTGATGATCGAGCAATATCACGAAATGTGGTACTGCTATGGAAAAATCCCTAGAAAAGTCTAGTTGAATGTGATCGAGCATTATCTTGCTGAAAATGGTTGTTTGCCATGAAAGGCAACCCGTAAGGACTAGAATTTCCTGAACCTACTACTGTGTCGACCAAATCCTCGTAGCACTATTTGAACTGACCGATTGTTATACGAGATGACGTCTCGTGCCAGCTGTAGGTAGTATATCGCTGAACAGTAAAGGCGGAAATGAAGCGCTCACCATTGATTATTCATATTTTAACATGCTAATCGTCCATTCCCAACTGAAACGGGATTCTTTGCTAAATACAAGCAGTCCATGATTCTCTTTCATGGACCTTTCAAACGATAATGTTGGGGTGCAAATAGCGCGACGCGTGGTAGTATGCAAATTTTTCTCTGCTTTTGCCTACCAATGGTACAATAACATAGACGGTCCGATAGCAAACTTTGTACCTGTCTCTGGATGGTGGGGGGAGAGGTCGCTGCGCGCGGTCTGTGTATGTGATAGTAATTTTGGCTCTGTGNTGCTTAAAACAAAAAAATGTAGGATTACTTACTGAGTGTGCACCGTTCGACAACGCCATTGCTTAAGCTTGTTTTCGTCGCGGAGTGACGCATCGAACGGCAAGCATGTGCTTCCTGATAAATTATTTTTTTTGCGAAAATTTTGCTAAACTTTGAAAACATCATTAATATAAATATAATTTTTATGGCCGTTAAACAATAAATAGTTTTTAGTAGATCCGCTGCGCGTTTAAACTCAACGGCTTGTGCAATATCCGTTATTGGTCTAGATTCGACCAATCCTGTCGTGATACGAGTCGGCGATGACGTTTTACCGCGTTATACGTGTCTCTTTTAGCGTCTTTATACGAATACGGTCGCAATTTTTTCACCGTGATCTACGAATCCGCATTATATGAACCCGTTTTATAGGGGTCTACTTTATTCGTTATTCATTAAGTGACAAGCGCGCCATGTTTAATATGTATCGTTGGCTTTCGTAAAGTTCTTGATTCAGTCATGGTACCGAGACTCGTAGCTCATCAGTGGCAGAATACATAAAACCACTGAACATGGTAGTAAGGTTGTGGGCGAGCCTGGCTAATGGGCTGGTCACGTAAAGTTTTCCAGGTTTTCTTCATGTTAGTTAGTAAAGCCTCTTGAGTGTTCCTCTCACTGACTCGAATCAGGATCTTCAGAGTATTGTATTATCCTATCAAACTAATATTAAACCAAGAAAAAACTCTGGAACGATATAAACGTCTTTACCGGTTCGTCTATCTCACGTTCATCTTAGATCCGGCTTTCACGACCTAATTGTCATGGTCTAATTCTAATCGACGCTAAGCGAGCCGTCCTAAATCAAACCCAATTTCTCAAATTGCAATATCATACACTGATATTATATTTTCGGACGAAACATTCAACTGTGTAATATCACACCCGATATATAAAAAATTTGTGATTAAAATATGAAACTTTGAAATTCCATGTTAATGTATCAAATTTCCAAATTTATAATTTTGAAGCCGGTACCACTGTTCAAAATTTCATATTTTTTATTATAAAGTAATTTTATATTTTTAAATATGTTTTAAGTATATTTTAAAGTAATTTTATTTGAAGATGAAAACTAAAATTAAATTAATTCAATTTAAGTCTCACCGCTTTAATTGGACATCTGCATGGCAAATCATGTACCATTAGTGTGTCTGGGCAATATGGCGGAAACAGGTCACATATGTTACCTACATTAATTTCCTTTACATAAACCCAAGCAAGCATATTTTTGTATACTTTAACAGTTACCTAATTTAAGAAAAAAGTTATAATTTGACAATAAATTACTAAATATTTTCGCTCTTATAATTGAAAGTTATAAGTTTTTTTTTATTAGAAAATGTCTTACCTTTATAGGTGAACCTATAGGTCTGTCTACAATGATATGACCACCTAGAGAGATGGTTCCTCTTAATGGTATTGGATTCGGAAATAAAACAAGACTAGTCATTCTTACTGGTCCATCATCGTTGCAACTTTTCCATTCGATCGGGCTATCTCTTTTTGAAATCTAAAACGTATACAATAATTTATATTTTAATTGAATTTTCTGCGTGTACAGTAAAGTACTACGTAAAAAAACCTGTACCGGATGCCATGAAGATGAATTGACCTTACTGGCATCGTATGTATTTGCAGGTAAAATTTGGCATAAGGATGTGACTAATAGGATCAGAATTATGTAATTCATGATGTTCTGTCTGAAAATTATCCAATTATCATTATGTTTATTTCATCATACCATAATTTTCACAACTGAAAAGAAAATAGCGTCTAATACAATATTAATAAATAAAATTTGTAATTTGAGTAAGCTTATACTTCACTAAATTTCAATGGTCAGTTACTTCTTTTGTTGTAACGGCTTTAAAAGAGTAGTTTTAATGATACCCATTATGGATTTGACCGTAATATATCCGGAATAGAAGGCCTATAAAAATGGCCTGAAGTTTCTGATCCAGATTAAAACTCAGTTCCTCAGAGTTGCTGAAAGATGTCTGTCAGTGGCCGAGTTGCTAAAAACACTAACATG